TCATCAGCGGTTTTGAAATGTTAGCTGTGTGTGGTGAAATGTAACGAAAGAAAGCCTGGTTTCTATAACGAAGTGCCAGAAATGTATGGTGCATATCGAACTATGGCCAAACTTGAGGACACTATAAAATAACCACACTTTAAGTCCTCTCTCTACACCCTTCACATTCTGGATAGAAACCACTGCAACAAATCAAATACACTTGCAGAGGAGGTTAGACTATGACATTTGCCAGCCTGCTTTACCTATATAACCTTACTCTGCCGACAACTAGCAAAAGCACACATTCTTCTGATTAATGGTTTTGATCACTGGTGGCTGCAAATGACAGTATAGCTCAGCCTAACTACCCAGGATGATAGTGAAAGTTTGTCATCGGAGACGTACATGTCAGGCTAAACCACAACCGCCGATATTCAGACACATTTTGTTTCATGCAGTCGGGCCAATGTGACATGAACAGCTTCAGATAGCAGCGAACAAGTCGAGATTCCGTTAGGCTCCGAAGTTTCTTGCGATATGATGGATGGAATATCTTTGTGGTACCAGTGTGAAAGAGGCTCAAGTCTTCAAAAATATGGGCGCGCTTTCCCCCAAATAGCGCAATCACGACGTCTTCGGCTTCAGAAAGGGAAGTTGTCTGCTCTTTCTTCCGAGATTACAAGGCAGAATTTTGAAGCGAGTTGTTTCGTAATGGTTACCTTCTGATGCACCACATAAATTTATAAGAATAAGGTGAAATATTTTTATAGTGCATTTAGGGCACGAAGGAAACCCAAGCTTAACAGTTCGACACTTTTTTGCTTTTGATTTTTCTGCCCCCAAACACAATCCCTCATGACTGCGGTCTGGAAACTCGTCCGTCGCATCATGGGAGCGCCTTGATTAGGGACAAAGTCAACCATCAGGGGAGGCACTCACTTAAGCAAACAAAGCCCCGCCCACGACGTTTCACTGAACGACACTTTAGCAAATGGCGGCGTTCCTTTGAGACAGCCACCAGCATTCCGTTTAGTATCCGCCCCCGATATTGTAGCCTAGTGCCGAAACCTTGGCGGTACACGCTCGAGCTTGATATTATATTCGTTTCCCCCGAGCGGTAGCAGGGGGTGACCGCTAGTCTGTTTGGAAGCCCAACTTCCAGCCGCTAAACTGAGCCTATTCGCTAGAACGTCAGTTCTCTCAAACGAATTCTACTCAACAATATGATATAGACCCCTAATGCAGATACCGACGGAGTTTCCAGACCGCAGACCTGTCAAGGGCCATACCTCCGGCATATACATAGCCTTAGCCTTTATAAACATTTGATATACTCGTCCGTCACAACCGCGCCTGTTGCTGCCATAAGCGCACTATTTACGCTCCCCCCCCCCCCCCCCCAAAAAAAAAAAAAAAAACACTTTATACTTTAAAATGGCTCGAAAAATCAGAAACTTGATGGATCAACTAGTAACTTCTCTCAAGAATGTATATAACTGGTCACATTTCTGTGCTAAAATTTGAAGTCTGAACACGCACAAAAAAACTTGTTTTTTCAACGTCGCGAGGCGGTAGCTGCCGAGGAGACGTCGAACAACGGCAATGTTTGTTTGCCTTATAATAATAATAATAATAATCTTTATTTTTGTGGGGTGTCCACCAACAACACAAAGCCTAAAAGTGGTACACCGCTCGTCATCAAGAATAAAATGCAGAGCACAAAAATGTGACCAGTTACGGACATTTTTGAGAGAAGTTACTATTTGACCCATCAAGTTTCTGATTCTTGCGGGCCAAATAATGCCAACAGCCGGGCAATTTGAAAAGCCTAATATCGGCACGACCTCTTAATCTGTGGTGCTCGCTTGTGGCGTACAGTGCCTATACATCTAACAACAAACAGCAATAATAACAGTGATAATAATACTCCATGGGCAAAAAAAAAAAATAACTCGAGGGAGTACGGCGTGCAGGCATCGTGGAAAGGCTTGCACGCCTTGCACTGCTCACCACACCAACAGGACCTGCCAGCATGAAACAATATGTCACGCAAAACATACATCTCAAGAAACCACTCCGAATGCTGATACAAGAAACCACACCGAACGCTGATACTTACAAGGTGTTCACGTCTCAAGGATGGCCGAAAGAGGAAAAAGCCGTTTACAAATCCCTGTAACGCCGAATTGGAGCGCAGCTCTTGAGGAGGAGTAGGGAAGGGTTTCCAGCCTGAGCCGACGCCGCTCAGGCTGGAAACGGGCCCCTAAGAGCTGCGCTCTAAAAGATCACCACGGAGCCGCAGGTGAGCCACCGCACCGAGTGGAAAGTACGCGGGAATGCGGCGTAATGCGAAGGTATCAAGGTATGCGCGGAAAAAAAAAACGCCACTGATCCCACAGCGAATTAGTTGATGCACGGTTCTGCTGGTTATGCCATGTAATACAACTTTCTGCGCGCTTATAATTTCATCCTGTAAATTATTGTATGTTTGAAATATACAAATAATCAAATATATGCTTAGTTCGACGTGAGCGCGTTGGTGAAGTTAAATAAAAACAGGTGCTGTTCGGTCCGTCCCTATATTTATTCTTTCTGTTTTTATTTAATCAAATATAATTTCATAGTTTATTTCGTTTGCTGCGTAAGCAAAATATGGCGCGCGGTAGTTTCATGAGTGGGGAACAACCTTGGTGGAGAACGATATATTCGACTGTCTTCCGTTTTCTGCGCGGACTAGGGCTGACTGGCACCGCTGTTCGACGAGAGAAGGCTACGCGATTAGATAGAAATAAGCAGTATAATGCCATGCCTCTTTATGAAAGCGCTGCAGCGTAATGCCGAATTGAAGTGCGTGACGTTCTTCACTAGACATCCGTGCTGGAAGTGCTGTTCCGAACAGCAACTCTTCATATGTCGATTGAAGACGGTTTTATGGCCAGTATTTCGGACACGGCTGTTTCTCGTCCGCGCGAGGCATGTAGTGCTATTGTGGAAGTATCCAGGTAACATATTCCAATCGATTAAAACATACGTTGCAGAAATGTTCGTAAAGCGCAAAACACATGTACGACGAAACAGTCCGATCCGACGTCCGATCAGGCAATACGACGGTCGGAGGCGAGGGTTTGAACGCTCTCCGGTGCTACGAAAACCCTCGCCCCCCAAAGTCATTCCGGCAGTCCGCACGTCGGATCGGACGGTTTCGTCGTACATGTGTTTCGCGCTTTACCCAACGTGCGAAGAATGTTCCGCGTGGGAATGTTAATCACAAACGTCCTGGGAACATTAGTATTTATACCTTTAGCCAATGTTTCCATAGAAACGTTCCTTAAAGACCGACAAACAAGCAGAGAGGAGGATCCGCGCCCTTTCCAACCTTCGTTTTCCTCCTCTCCCCAACAAGAAGGAGGAAAATTACCCCTCTCCACGTTTGCCATTTCTGAAGACATGACCCAGCCGGCTGACGTTTGGGGGTGCCAATAATCTTAGCGGATTAGAAAAGATTAGCCCAGAGGGCAGTTCGTGATTCCACAAACACAACGAAAAAGTGAAAGTCGCTTGTCCTTCCTTTCCTTCTGTTTTCACTCCCTTGACGCTTGACTGCGTTGCCTACTTCGTAACCTAAATCCTAGTGCTGACCTTCGGGCTTGAAAGCATGCGAAAGAAAACTCAAAAATGACACTTCACAAGATTTTTCGTCTGCTCGCGCCTCTTCGAGTCTTTTCGTTCAGAGGACATCAGCGACAACTATTTCCTGTCTGAGGTTCTCGCTGAAACACTAGTTAGTACATATTTTTATTCTACATAGCACGCATTTGTCTTAGCCCAGGTAATATGGTATTTATTATCTCTGGTTCTTTATTATTCCAGCAATCGCATCAAAGTGAACAACCATGGAGGTGTCCGAGCCCTCCACGTTTATCTCGAGAAAAAGATTGCGGGACGGCAGCCTAAAAGAATACGCATGCCAGAGGGGTAAGCTGCGGCGTAGCATCAACCTGAGATTTCCCTCTGAAGATGAAATGACGAAGTTCGGCATCCTGCTACAGAAAACTAAAGTCGCAAATGAAGGTAATTCTCTAAACACAATAATAATGAAAGCTCTGGAGTGCCTCTTGGAGGCGCCGCGTTGTCCTGGAACTAACAGATCTGGACATGTAACAAGCAAGTTCAGAACGACATGCGAATCAACGTTAGTTGTTTGCGACACGTCTGCGCTCTTTGAGATGTTGAGGACTCTGCTGGACCACAGGACAACTTGTCCAGAGACCTTGGTATTAGAAAACACGACTCCCCCTGGCTTTGGGTCTACACTCCACTGGAAATGCAAGGACCACTCTTTGATTCTTCGCACCAGCAGCAAGATCGGAGACTTGCGATTTGTTGACTGTCATTTTGCCCTTGCGTATATCTGCAGCGGTATGCTCCCAGTGCAGTTTCAGAAGTTCTGTGAGTTCAGCACCTTACCATACTCTTCAAGGGCTCTAGAAAGCCTGGCAACAAAAATCAAGGCAGCAGTGAACATGTTGAAGATGGAGTCTCTCGCAGCAGCCCAGCAAGAAGAGTGTAGGGATAGTAAACCCCCGACTGCCTCTACAACTAGTATAAGCATCGAGACGGACGCGCGGCATGCGTGTCGCAAAAACTCTTACCACACAGATGTCGTTGCGATTGGTCAAAAGTCGCACAAAGTGGTAGGAATTGTTCATGTGACGAAGGATGAGGAAATTTCTTCCCAGAAACACGAAGCCTTGGGTACAAGGAAAATGTACGAGTATTTTGACGGAAGGGGGATTCACGTGAATGATCATGCGCATGATAGAAACACCTCTATCAACAAGATAATTCGAGACAGGAATAGCAACACAACAAATTCAAATGATCGATGGCACGCCGCAAAGACTATCAAGAATGGCATGATGGTCATATCCTCAGGACCAAAGAAAAATGAAGGTAAAACATGGCACCATGAACTCTCTGACAAATGCCAGGCAGTGCGCAATCACGCCTACTTCGCGATGGACAACTGTGGTGGTAGTGCTGATAAACTGCGAGCAACGTTGTTGAACTGCGTAGAGCATTTTTCAGGCAACCATCAAATGTGTGCTTCCGATTCGCAGTGTAAAACAGTTGGTCACGTTCTAAGCACTCTCCTTATCAAGGATCCCGTGGCTGTGGAACTTCTGACGAAATTTATAAAATCAACAACTGTGTACAAGTTTGCTCAAGATTTTGTACACTCTAAAAATACCTTTTTTGTTGAGTCCTTCAACAACACAGTGCTCATGTACACTCTTAAAAAAATCCGTTCTTGAAAGGTTCTTCGCCGCCCCAAGAACTCTTTTTCCTCGTGAAGAACTGTTTTCGCTCAAACAGTGTCGCCCCCTGGCGCAGCAGAAAGGCGACCGGGCGATGAAGAACGTTTGCCTGGAAAAAAGTTCTTCATAACGTTTTTTTTGTTGTTTTTTTTCTTTCTTTTTTGTTTTCGAAGAAGCGGTTGCGCGCGAAGGAGTGCCGGTGGTACCGCTGCGCCGCGCCGTTTGCGTGCGTGAGATTCTGTAAATTCGAAAGTAACGGCGGCCAACAATTCGGGGTTCGCTGTTTACTGTTTCGACCTGGTTCTGTCGGCGGCATTCAATGGATGGGTTCATGGTGCGAGAACATACAGATCTGTGTAGATGGAAGCTCCAGGACATGTCAGATTGGTTGACAAAGCAAAACCTTGGAGACTTCGCCCAAAGATTCGAAGGTAAGCAGAATGCTCCGTCCTCTTTGTTTGTGTTGGTTGGCGGCGTCAGTTTCGTCTCGCGTTTTCAGTTTCCAAGTTGAGGGTAACGCCGGTAACGGTGGCTGATCGGGGTCTCGATGGTGCTATCCTTCCATACTTCCATGTGCACGCGAATATTTTTTTTTATAAAACTTGTAGTGCAGTGTGGATATTTGGACACGTTTTGTGAGCGACGAACTGCTTCCGGGTCTTTCGGCGATTGGTGAGATTTGTCGTCGTTTGTGCGATTTCAGCATGAGCGGATACGAGTGTTCAAAGTTTTCGCAGTGCTACCACATAGGGAGTCATCTGGCAAATCATGTCCAGATAGCTCATGGTGACCCGGACTTTAATTCTGTTTGCAAGTTGGGTGAGTACTCTCCGTCTGGACGATATTTTATTGCATTTAAGAGCTTCAAGAAGCACATGAGACGTAAACATGTCGAGGGAGGATCTGGGAAACCAGAAAACGGAAGCAGTGTGGGTGTGATGCATGCCACTGCTTTATGGTTGTCCCCCCCCCCCCCCCCCCCCATCTTCACTCTCTTTATACTATATTTGTGTACACCATCGGAATAAAAGGGTAGAAAAATGTGGTATAACTTCTGTCATTAACATATATAACATATATGTATGATATAAACTGTGTGTGCAATATTTTATCTCCTTTTATGCAGAAGAGGTTGATGGGAAGACGTTACTAAACTTGTCAGTGTGGATGATTGAGCAGTTGCTCCCTGCTATGAAACTGCGAGTCAAACTGCTAAAACTGATTGAACAGCTAAAAGGAGACATAAAAGAAAGGTGGGGCACATTACTCAATTCGAAATTTGCGTTCCATTTGTGAAATTCGAGATGCACTAATTACATTGTTAGTTTTCAGCTTGCCTGGACCCTCCAATGTGCCTCGTGCTAGTAACACAGCAGCCTCAGTTTGGTCTACAGAGGTTGTAAGGATGTATGGCCACAGATATATACTCTCCCATAATTTCCCTCGCTACTGTTACAGAGGCTGTGTGAAAAGAGTGAACTGTTCCTTCAACCACAGCGAAATGAAGCACGAACAAAGTTGGTCGCTGCGTTGGCAGACGACATTCTGAGCAAAACTCCGAAAGCAGCAGCATTTGAAGTCCTCACTTATATATCTTAATATAGAGGCTAACATTTGTTGTTTTTTCTTTCCAGAACGCCAAGTCGGTCTTAGCTAGATGATGTCATGCGTGCCCTCCAAGCGGCATACCCCTTCCTGGCCGACTCCACTGGACGCTGCGTAAGATTTACAAGAACTTGTTTTCATTCTGACAATTGAAAGGCTTGTATCGAAGTTCATTATCTGCATTGTAACAGGCTTGCTACTCGTCAGTCTCACTGTAGGATTCGCTGCGGCACAGCCTTATTAACAAAATGAAAAAAGAAAGGTTGCTTCTTATGCATCTGCCAGAAGTTCAGCAAAACAAGGAAAACTATGGCAAAGGTGGTGGACGAAAGCGATAGGAAAAACGCCAACGCAGTGACTGTATTCAAAAATAAAAAAGGACCATGGTAAGTTTGTTATAATCTGGTTCAGACACAGTTAAAAGAAATAAAACTAACCTGGAAGCGGGAACTGTTCTTAAATAGTTATTAAGCTAAATGTAGTTATGTAATTGCTGCACCATATGCTTCAAAGTGCTTAGCCTGTTACATTTTGCCAAAATGAGAGGAATCTTTATACAGTTTTCATTTGCCCGTCCAGAGGAATGGTTAGAGGCTTGGGAATGACCTTACCAAATTCGGCTTGATTGTTTTTAAAAGGCATATTTATTGTTCGCATGCAGATTCTTGTTATGAAGTCTTAAATATGCGACATTAATATTCACAATCAAATGACGAAATTTTTGTTTTATTATAACCTTTAGAACTGTAACAAAACATCACTTTGAGTACTCAAAATGTTTCTATTTTTACATTATTTTATTTTAGTGGTACGTACTGTTTGCTTTACTTTTGATTCCGTACCTAAAACCACTATTCACAGAAGTTTATACTATCCATCATCACTCAGACTGTTGTTGCCATGTCTGGTGCTTCTATGTGCAACTAAGCAGATACTGCTTTGTTCGAGAGAATCAAACTTGTCAAGCAATTGATGTTAACAAAAGGTTGCACAGGAGTGGGAGGGCAAAGTAGATAGTGTTTTAGTTGAGCATGCCAACACATTACCCGTATGATAATACTCACAGTGGTAAGAATAAAGACGAAGTTTTTGCTTACATGCCAATACATCTTTTAGCAGCTCCTAAACGTACTTTTGGCTACTCCTAAATGGACTTCTGACTACTGCAACAGGTGCTCCAAAGTGACTTGAACGAATCACATCGCTGTAAAGGTAATCTGTAAAAGTCACAGTTGCATGGCTTGTCAGATATATCAAATACTCTCTGGTTGTCTCTCGGTTAAATCTCCTTTGCTGCATTGAACTGCCTTATTATAGCTAAAATATAGAGTGCATATAACTTGATCTATTTGGACCCGTGCACCCACTGTTTAAATTACAATTTTTTACATAACATAAAATAAGGCTTGCTGGAGTTCGTCTGGTACACAACTTTGTTCTTCAAATCCCATATTCTGTGCATGGCACTGACTTTTTTTTTCAGGTTCCACATCATGACGTAGAAGGTACCGAGAACTGTGCAGACCACGTAGAGATTATGGCTGCTGAATGCTCCAAGGCTGCAACAGATGTGAAGCTCTTACTTCAAATAATGGCACAGACGTAACAGGCAAGGAGGGTAGACATCGCTGGCAACACCACCACTGATGTTATTTAGCTGTACCCGGCCCTCTGTATTCCCGAAGTGGTAATTTTAACACCTTTTCCACTAAACTTTCAAAGCAATAGACAGCCTGAATGGTGGATCAGTTTTGTCTGGTTTTGAGTTAGTTCAAACCTAAAAAGGGTATACTAAGAAAGTTAGGCACTGTCTAAATTCAACTAACAGCCTGGTTTGCAGCTGCCTACTTGCAGTGCGTTGTGCTCTTTGTCTGGGTTTAACACCTGTTTGTGCCATGCGCCCTCGCAGTGTGTGGTTGGAGAGGGGCATCATGAGAAGGAAGGGGCCAGAAGTCTTGTTTTGCCGCAATTTCCTTTTTCCTGCTTCCACAGCTGACTGGTTGCCTCGTCCATCTCGTCTCCAAGATAGCATTTTTATCCATAAAGTATACCTCAAAAAGAAAGGGTTTTGAAGTTTTTCCAAGTCAGTTTTTGTTTTCTTTTGTTAGTGGTCAAATAATAGATCTGAGCTCGCTAACGTGCCATATATGAAATCAGACATCTAGAACGTTGTCTCCATTTTCTCAAGGCCAAAATTTCAGTGTCTCATTTCAGTGTTCCACTAGGCCGTGTTATATTTGATCTATATTTTAGGCAGAGAAGCATTCTACTCATGTGCTAAGTTTCAATCTAGTCATGTTCAATAAACGTGAGTATGTTTTTTTTTTTTGTGAACCGCGGTATCTTGTCTTCATTTCACCCTTGACCGGTTGGACATTGCAGAGCATCTCTTTTGTTCTCCTACCTTTATTCCCTATACCTCATACTTCGTCTTGACAAGAGTATCAACGATGAATGTGTACTTGAATACCCATCCAAGCCAGTGGTTCTGCAGTAGATGTAGTGCCCCAGAAAAGGAGCCTTGTCGTTCAAAGCCTGTTTTGCACGTCTGTTGACGTTTGCAAAACGTCTAGGTGATGTATAATGCCTCTTTGAACAGTTCGAGACAGTCAATAAAGAGCGGTTTACGAAAGAGCTACTGTACACCTAAAATTGCTGCCCAAGTCGCTTTTTGCGAATAAGTTATTCAAGTTAACTCGAAAGTGGTCTTTGCAACAAAACTTTCATTGAAAAGGTTCATAATAGAAAGCTCTCTCGGTGAAAAGTAACTTAAAAGTTAGGGGTGAGCAAGTAGTGGTTAAAATAAAATCCTTGGTAGTTTTTTTTAGTTCTCTCTCGGATGGAACGGTTTTTCATCAAATACCTTTGCAAGCTTCTTATAAGATCTTCCAATTGACCAGTAAATCATGAAAAACCTTTATTGAGTTTTTTTAGGGTCTAAGGTAATAACAGTTCTAAATAACCTCTCAAGGGATTTTTACTGTTGGGGTGTGCGAATACCCCTCGGTTCAAATAGCGCAGCGATATTTCTAGATTCAAGAAGTCCACGGTACACAATGACTTTCATTGCAGTGTTGAACCTAGAAATATCGCTCTTCTTTTCGAACCGAGGAGGTATTCGCGCACCCAACATAAAAGTTCCCTTGAAAGGTAATTTAGAACTTATTTCCTTAGACCCTAAAATAACTCAATAAAGATTCTTCATAACTGGTTAATTAAAAAAGAGCTTATAAGAACCTTCCAAAGGCACTTGATGAAAAATCGCTTTATCCGAGAGAGAACTAAAAAGAACTGTTTCAGCGACAGAACAACTGGAAAGAACTTTTTAAACGTTCTGCACGAAGAACTGTTCCATTGAAAAGAGAACTTAAAAGAACTGTTAAACGGTTCTGCACCAAGAACTGTTTTAGCGAGAGAAGGGCTGAAAATAACTTTTTACAAGTTCCTCACGAAGAACTGTTTCATTGAAAAGAGAACTTAAAAGAACTCCTTAAAGGTTCTTCATGAAGAACTTTTTTATAAGGTGCTTAAAAGAACCTTTTAGGGTGCAAAATATGGACAAGCTGAAGAACTCCTAAAAGTTCTTTTTCGAACTGATTTTTTTTAGTGTGTACTTAGACAAAAGGATTCATTACAAGAACGAGAATTATGACCTGAGGCAAAGTCTAGCAGTTCTTGACTGGAACGAGCACGTCGGACGAGAACACACGTCTGTCTACCACATCGAGGAATGTCGGCACCATACCTCGGCAAACCTCACTCATGAGGGCCCTCACTCACCCTCACTCACCCTCATCTTCACAGGTGAGGTGAGGGTGAGTGAGTTTCTGAACCAGGAAAATTCATGAGTGTGAGGGTGAGTGAGGGCTGTGAGGGCTGTGAGGGCGGTGAGGGCCGTGAGGGCCGTGAGGGCGGTGAGGGCGGTGAGGGCCGTGAGGGCGGTGAGGGCCGTGAGGGCCGTGAGGGCCGTGGGGGCGGTGAGGGCCGTGAGGGCGGTGAGGGCCATGAGTGCGTGAGGGGCGTGAGGGCGGTGAGTGGCGTGAGGGCCATGAGTGCGTGAGTGGTGTGAGGGCGGTGAATGCGTGAGGGGTGTGAGGGCCACGAGTGCGTGAGGGCAGTGAGTGGCATGAGAGGCGTGAGGGCCATGAGGGCCGTGAGGGCGGTCAGTGCATGAGGTGTGTGAGGGCGGTGAGTGCGTGAGGCCCCCTTCAGATCGAGCATCTTTCTCAGCAATTTTGGTGTTAATGGTGGGTTGTTCTCTAGCTTTCCCTAGATCGACAAATTGCTGAGATCGGGTCCGGCTCGAAATAAGCAAGCAATTCGGAGCAATTCGAATACGTTTGAAGCGGCTGCATCCAATCAGGGACGCAAAATTTTCACGCGATACCTCGTGCCGGTGATGATGACACCGAATGACTTGGTTCTGGTTTGAAATCGATCGTTTTATTGGAAATAAACTGTTTCAGAAAGGTGCATTAGTATTCTTAACGAGGTTTAAATGCATAAAAACACGTTTATAACGCATAATTGTGTCTAAATAGTGCAAGAAAAATAAAATGTTATGATGACGATGGCAAATTGCAGCAATTGGTTGCTGCGTGTGATCGCGGGCGGCCCGTGTTGCTGGTGTTGCGACGTAAAGTTTCTGGGCGAAATTGCCCCATCTGAAGCTGGCCTGAGTGGCGTGAGGGCCATGAGTGCGTGAGGGGCGTGAGGGGTGTGAGGGCCGCATGGGCGGTGAGGGGCGTGAGGGCGGTGAATGGCGTGAGGGCGGTGAGTGGCGTGAGGGCGGTGAGTGGCGTGAGGGCGGTGAGGGCCGTGAGGGCCGTGAGTGCGGTGAGGGCGGTGAGGGCCGTGAGGGCGGTGAGTGGCGTGAGGGCGGTGAGTGGCGTGAGGGCTGTGAGTGCGTGAGGGCCGTGAGGGCGGTGAGGTCCGTGAGGTCCGTGAGGGCGGTGAGGGCCGTGAGGGCGGTGAGGGCCGTGAGGGCCGTGAGGGCGGTGAGTGGCGTGAGGGCTATGAGTGCGTGAGGGCCGTGAGGGCGGTGAGGGCCGTGAGGGCGGTGAGTGGCGTGAGGGCGGTGAGTGTCGTGAGGGCCATGAGTGAGTGAGGGCGGTGAGGGGCGTGAGGGCCGTGAGGGCGGTGAGGGCCGTGAGGTTCAGTGAGGGTGAGTGAAGGGCTGAAGGTGAGTGTGATTGTGAGGGTGAGGGTGAGTGAGGGGCTGAAGGTGAGTGTAGCTGTGAGGGTGAGGGTGAGTGAGGGGCTTAGGTGAGCGTGGCTGTGAGGGTGAGGGTGAGTGAGGGCGACCTAAAATGCCGACCTCTGGTCGGCACCCGGACAGGCAAGGAGGAAAGAAAAGTACGCAAAAAAGAGCTACAGGTAAATATTCTTTTTAGAGCGCAGCTCTTAGGGGCCCGTTTCCGGCTTGAGCGGCGTCGCCGTCGCCGTCGGCGTCGGCGTAACCGCGCGGTGCATCATGGGAAATGTCCCATAATGCACCGCGCGAGCCCCCCACCGGGGTCACGTGACCTCGTGGGGCGGCACGTGACCCCCCCGAGGTCACGTGACCCCGGTGCATCATGGGAAATGTCCCATAATGCACCGCGCGAGCCCCCCACCGGGGTCACGTGACCTCGTGGGGGCACGTGACCCCCCCGAGGTCACGTGACCCCCCGAAGTCACGTGACTCCCCTGAGGTCACGTGACCCCCGCCGATGTCGCGTGACCCCCAATGACGTCATCGTCACTGATGACGTCACCGGCATCCACATCGTCATCGTCATCATCACTGATGACGTCACCGGCATCCACATCGTCATCGTCATCATCACTGATGACGTCACCAGCATCCACATCGTCATCATCACTGATGACGTCATCAGTGACGTCACTGATGTCGTCACCGGCATCCACATCGTCATCGTCACTGATGACGTCACCGGCATCCGCATCGTCATCGTCATCATCACTGATGACGTCACCGGCATCCGCATCGTCATCGTCACTGATGGCGTTACCAACATCCGCATCGTCATCGTCATCATCACTGATGACGTCATCAGCGACGTCACTAATGACGTCACCGACATTCGCATCGTCATCGTCACTGGTGAAGCCATCAGTAACGTCACTAATGACGTCATCGGTACCCGCATCGTCATCGTCAATGATGACGTCATCAGTGACCTCAGTGATGACATCATCGGCATTGGGGGTCACGTGACCCCCAAGGTCACGTGACCCCCCCACCTGGTTAGTTTAACCCCCCCCAGTGCCCTTCCCTCCTCCTCCTCAAGAGCTGCGCTCTAATTCGGCGTTACAGGGAGTTGTAAGCAGCTTTCACTTTTAATAATATTCGATATACCATGCGTTTCTTTAGTCTATAAGGTTGTTTCTTCTAGATTCGTAAAGAGCACTCGCGAACTGCTCTACCGAGCTGCGTCCATGGAGGATGTGACCGCCGCACTGTGTGATGCCCCCGAAAGCGACGGCGAATGAAAGGTATGAGCCTACATTGAATTTTCCTTTTTGATTGGACCTTAATTCTAATAACCAGTGTGTTATGGAAGCTTCAAAATTTTCTTTCTCATGATGGTGATTCGACAACAATATCACACAGAGCACGCACTTTCAAGTTCGTAAAATTTGGGCGACGTAAGTGGGTCAAAATGTGGTGATCAGTTCTGCCCTAGATCGATATTTTATAATCCTGGATACAAACAGCGCTGTTAGTCCGATAGCAGAACGTTTAGTTCAAGGCTTTGAGTAAGGTGGATATGGGGCCTTGGAAAAACTAGCACTATGTCGCAAGTTCTCCTCAGAACTGGCGAAGCAACGATTGCGACCGCGTTGTTTTTCAAATGTCCTTTCTATGCGCAAGTGCAAACCAGGCTTTCAGTACAGCAATGTTTATACGCCCGTTCCTATGCCAGGTACAGACAACACATTGTTAGAGGGCGTATACGAATATTCCGTGGGCACTATCCTCTACTTTTCTGCTCAATCTCGGTTGGGTGGAATGCATGTTGAACTTACAGTAATGGCCAAAAGTTTAGGGCCCGCCCCGTGCGCGGCCAGAGCGAGCTCGCGCTGCTACCATCGGCGCTCGCTGGCTGCGAGATTTTTGAGTGTGAGGGAACTTCGCTCTTGCGTGACTTGCGCCGCGGTCGCTTTGATAATACAGTACTAGCGCAATAGCTGGTGTGGCGTGCACCTTTACTGTGCTCGTTGGAAGCTACTGCTGCGCGGAGGCGCTGACATGCGAAAGGACAGACACATTATCTGGCGCATTACCTATTGCCGAATGCTGTGCTAACAGATAACGAAGTGCCTATATCAGTTTGTTCATTTCATTTCAACCACTTTTCTATTTCAGGCCTGATCAACGTTCGAGACATCTGGGATGGAGGTGCTGCGTCATTGGCAACAAAAGTCAGCCATGGGCCTAAACAGAAGTTTTTGGATAAATAAATTTTTGTTTAAATAAATGTGCTGAACAGATTTTATGCCAAGCTCGACCCCGTTTCTCCTCGTTGATCTTGTACCTAGCTCTAATTGAGTTTTTGTCTAAGCACACGAGCACGGCCGCATACAGATTGAGAGCGCCTTGCCTTGCAATCAGTTCGGCCATACGAACGCGAGAACCTAATAGAGCTCGGAGCGCCCGCCTGCCCATTACCGCAGGAATTGGTGTACACGCTCCAGCAGTTACTGCGCTTGCCCGCAGTAACTGCTGGAGCATCCGTGAACGCGTGCGCATGTCTCTCTTGGTTGTTTGGTGCTTTACATGTGAGCTTGAGTGGACACGGCATCTCCTGGGTTATGTTTCGTATTGAATCCTCCTGTGCATGCGTTATTCTGACATTCGCATGCGAGAAGGCCAAAGCTCTGTTACAACGCTCAATACACCTTGCCGGAGAACCAAGAAGGCCTCTTTTGGACACTACATTGCACAAAGCATCGCATGGAATTGTGGGGCTGTTCCTATACACACTCGATCCGAATGGTACGATTTGCATATACTGGAAGCAGCACGATCTATTTCTTTTCATCACTCCCATTTTAGCACACAAAGAAAATGCAAATGCATCGAGTTTGCTGGATGCGCTGCAAATTTCTGGAATGGCATATTGCACGGCACATCAGTGGGACAAGGAATCTGTTCTGGCTATTCCGCGTGAAAGCATTCACCAGTTGCAACTCGGCTCCAGACTTGCTACTAAGACTGGAGGCACTGTTCTATAACACGTAAATAAAAATGAAGCTAATAGACAAAACGCGTATTTTTTATTTGTTATAGTGGATAAAGCACGTGTACTTGTAACAAAATAACATCCAATATGTTACAAATATGTCACTCTTGTTTTGTGAGCTTCATATGGCAGGCTTACTATTTTTCAAAGGTTCACATTTGCGCCTTTGAGATAACCTTTAGTTAGTTCCCATCTGGTGAACAATCACAAATCGACGTGAGGACATTCGAAATTTCCTACGCGACTTGCAAGCACCGGTTTGGCAAGACCAGGTTTTGTGGTCCCAGGCAGTTGTTGACAATTGACTATTCACAACAATCGTTGGAGAACTTTAGACTTTATTTTATTACGAGTAAAATTTAGCACAGCTGTAAGAGTAAAAATCCTACGTCACACTTACTGCTGCTACTCCCATTTGTGTCCCATGTAGGACAATCCTTTTGGGTTAGGGTATAGGGCTCGAACATGCTCAATAACACATTTGGGCGTGATCTCGCGCTTGGCGATCACGTTGAGTTGCCCGCAGCTCCTCTTCTTTCGCAGATAGGTCGGGTGGCGCCAGACACCCAAGTTCGCCAGGCAGCCCCAAAACTTCCGCTAGTAGCTCTTCCGTACTCCTGGATTTTTTTTTACGACGGTCGCTGGCCTTCACCCATTCTAACGTAGCCTCGGGTAATTATGCACGGGGCACATAAACACTCTAGGCATTCCATTTTTCTGCTTGCAAGCTAAATAAAAAGGAAAACATGATATTAGAAGCATTTATTATTAGCTGCATATTTATCATTACAATGAGTGAATAACATTGTCATTTTTAAATATGAAAAAAGTCAAAGAGCGCTTCAGCTTGGAAATTACGTTCCTTTGCTGATACACTAAATGCGTACACCATGCAAGAAGGCCCTCAAATTTAATATTTCTCCACTGGGAGTATTATGCAAGCAAATGTCTCCCAGTACCACTTTATTGTGGTACGGGGAAGGGCACACAGGATTCACGATGCAGTAACTTGCTTCGGTAACCATGAACGAATTTTCATACTTGGCTCTAGAGTTGAGTAAGCGACGAAATCCCGTTATATAAAAACTGCCGTTCTGGGCAGATTTCGAAGTTCTGAAATGCACCCACCTTTTTGGTATTTGAAGATTCTTTCCGTCTCTCCGCTATTTGATTCGCAATGAAGACACCGTTCCGGAACGTTTTTGGGGGGCGGGTGTGAATAAGCCACACTGGACGGTTTAGAAAATTAGCGCTAGAGGTCCCGCCGCGGAAACATACCGTGCTATACTCCGCGACAACTTTTCTTGGCAATGCAATGGAAGGTACAGCCCGCGTTCCCTCTCTTGTACCTTCCACTGCATTGCCAAGAAAAGTTGTCTTGACTCATATTCATAATATATAGGCAAAAAAAAACGCGGCCAGCCTCTACATTTTGCAGACCTTCACGACGAAATACGAAAAAGAAAACGATCCACAAGAAAAAAACAAAAAAACAAACAAACAGAGGGATAACTTTTTTTTTTACCCCGTCTTCTGCAGGTGCATTTAATCCCTGTTGTTGAGGTTTGGGGGTGACTGCTGCAGACCTTGAAAGGTCCAAAGCTTATTTCCAGGGGCCGCTTACTCGTTTATTATTTGTGCAAGAAGGGTGTCAGATGGTGAGAAGGAAAAGGGAGGGAGAAGCGAAAGAAAAGAGGAGGAATCTTCTGCCGGGAAGAAGACGATTCTGTAGGGCGGTCTTTAAGTAGATCTAATGTTAGTCTAACATCCGGAACCCTCAAATAATGTTCGCGGAACCTTCGGTGCTACCTAGGAGGGACCTGAAAGGGCCACAGCTCGCTTGCAGTCCTCGCAGCGTCACAGCGTTGTAGTCTTTGCACGTTGGTTGCAGTGGTCGCAGCCAGGGTCAGGGCCCGGCAGTCGAGGCGGCCGAGGCAGCCGAGTTACGATATGTGGCTGAAGTGCCCTAAGCCCGCCGCTATCGCAGCTGATCGCAACCGCCCAGTGTACGTAGCAGTGTCGGCATGGTTTCGAAGCTTAGCGGTTTATGACGGATGTGTTTAAACTTCTTTCTTTATGAATGTCGAAAACGCCACAGCAAAAGAAACGACTGAAGGACCGACCTCGTCGTCTTAGCCCCTGCGTAAACTGCTTAGATCCAACGTGGGTCCCCAAATCTTATTTATCAAACAGCGTGCTAATGAAGCTTGTAGCAATGATATTTGTATAGTTTTCTTGGCTTCGGTGGATAATAAAGACTTTAATGTTCCTTCAATCGGTCTGGGTTTGTTTTAGTAACTACAAAAAAAATATAAAAAACATTGCTCCTTCAAGGGATTGAACTTTTGACCACTTCGTCAGTAGTGCGATGTTCTACTCCTGCGGTAACTGGACTTTTTTTTCCAACAGTTTGTTTACAATAATGTACAGGGTATGAGCATCAGAGTTCGGCAAATCGGTTAGCGGTTGGAACGGAAAGGGGAGAAGGGGAGGGGTTAGTGGTTGCAATGTGTGTGCCGCAAGGGGGTGACGGTCTTAGATATGGCCGCCGGCGCGTCATCCCCTAGTTGGTGTGACGGTCGCTAGCAGCGGTGGGGGCGGCTCCGGCCCTCGCCGAGTCGAATGCGTTGAAGTCGGAGTCGCCTTTCCTCAATTGCTCTCCGCTCCTGGAATACCTGGTCCATGCTCCGGCCGCGATGGATAGAAGCCATCTCAACTGGGAAGTAAAATAGTCCCACGTCGGCCTGGCATCGGTGTGGATTCTACCATGGCCGAGCGGGCTAGCCAGATGGCGTGAAGCCCCAGGAGCACCAAGGACGGGAGCACCATGGACGAAGCCGTATCTGTCCTTTCGACGTCCAGGTATCTAAAGACGTGCCAGTCTATTGGAAAGTCCACACCGAGATCCTTCCTCATCTCGTCCCAAAAGAGATAGGCGTTGGAGCACTCCACAAACACATGTGGAAGCGTCTCATTCGCGCCACATAAGTCGCAGTTGGTTGACTCTGGCACGGTGTGGAGAGCACCACCCGAGGTGGATGACTGCCAGTACGGCAACAGAGCGTGCCAGATAAATGGATGTTGATAGCCGCAAATGTGTCCATTGGCCGGTACTTGGCAGCAGCAGTTCCTCTTGCCACTGGCATAACATGTGTACATACTGTAAAATACCGGGCGAGCGCCCACTCAAACTTTGGATATAATCGCAAAGAAATGGGGGATGGGCGCTTGTCCGCTCATGAATTT